TGGATGAACCCAAGAGGCAAAACCAATAATGCAGACACATACATGTGGGCCTCTCTACGCATCACACCCAGATTCACCATTAGGCTTTGTTGCGAGGGACCATAGTGTTAAAGGAGATTCATGTAAAAATACAAACCTAGATTGTTAGGTTGTTATAGAACTCGCCGCCTTCGTAAGTTCATAATGACTATTGACATAGGACCATCAAGTGTTGGTGCATGTGCCACACGTAATGTATAGATGTTGCCTTCATAAGTTCATAATGTTTATAGACATAGAAAGACCATCAAGGGTTGATGCATGTGCCACACGTAATTTATAAATGAGAGAGAAACATAACATCGACTTTAAGTGTTTTTTCTTTTTACAGAATACATCGAACTAAGTTATGAACCTCTGTATCACAAAAAGAGTTCATAATATTTCGCGCTTGCATATATCTCTTAAAGCGAGAGAGTGCTTTTTTTTTGCTCTCGGGTTGAAATTTTCAAAATTTTAAAAACAACTTATTAAGTTTCTAAAACAATGAAAATAAATAAACAAGTACATATAGATGTATACAAGACGTTTGTGAAATTCATCAAAAAATATGTTTTGATGTGATCTGTACCAAAAAAATAAAATCATGTACTTTTATAGTGAATATTACGTGCGCTAGAAATACATAATTTTGTCATTTTTGTGGAGCACACACAAAAATGTATTTTTACATTAAACTTTGCACATAAGTAGTATACAACATCCATGTGTATATGTGTAACTTCTTAGATATTTTTGAAACTTAAATTTTGAATTTTGAATTTTCAAATTAAGGGTTGCATGGAGCTCGAGCTCCATTAGCATTTTCCTTGTTTTAGGCTATCCATTAGCAATTTCCGTTAAAGCCATATCTATGAACACATCTTCTGGGCCAGCCGAAATACGCGACACAAGTGGGACTAGCACTTCCATGAGCTAGTACACGTACACAGGTTTTTCTTTTGTTCTTTTATTTTATTTTTATTTTTACTTTTGTTATACATTGAAATGTTGACAATATATATATATATATATATATATATATATCGGAATTAATTAACTTAAATTTTGAACAAACATTTGCCGCGCGTTTAAAAATGTTAATGGAGCGTAAATATATTATTTTGAAAAAAATACTTTACTTAAGATTTTTAGAAAATTTCACCACTTATAAAAAATGTTTATACAATGTTAAAAAAGTTGTGTTATTTCTAAAGAAACTCATACCAGCTCCGGCGAGGAAGGGGCGATCACGCAGGCGCGCCTTCGGCCTGATTCAGTGCTTGTAGTCGTTGCTAGATGGTTTGCGGATTTGGATGTATTTTTTACTATTTTTTATGTTCACTGTAGTATCATGATTGAAGATGAATAGATTGGAAGTTTTTCTCTAAAAAACGTCATCACATGTAAAAATATTCACTTGTTTAAAAAGTATGTTCGTGATTCTTTTAAATGTTTATACAATGTAAAAAGAACGCGTAATTTTGGAAAATGTTTCGTACCATTCAAAATATATAGTCCATGTAAAACAATCATAATACTTTAAAAAATTGCATGTTTTTTTAATAATGTCCACGGTATTATTGAAACCGTTCAAACATTTTGAAGAAAATGCTCACCTTGTATTTGAAAATGTTTAGTGTGCATTTGACAAAATGTTCAACATGTATTCAAAAAAATTGTTCCTTGTGTATCTGAAAAATGTCCAAGATGTATATAAAAATATTTGGTGTACATTTGGCAAATGTTCAACAAGTATTTGGATAAAATGTTCATTTGAAATATTTCTACTTGTATCTAAAAATTGTTCCTTGTGTATCTGAAAAATGTCCAAGATGTATATAAAAATATTTGGTGTACATTTGGCAAATGTTCAACAAGTATTTGGATAAAATGTTCATTTGAAATATTTCTACTTGTATCTAAAAAATGTTCAATGTGTATACAAGTCAACATGCATTTGAAGATATGAAGAAAAAATTAAGATGATGAAAATACAAAGACGAAGGAAGAAATACAATATGGAATCTTCTAAACCGGTACGAAACCAGTCCGTAGAAGCTTCCCAAATCCGCTCCTAGGAAGCTACGATATGCACACTATTGTGTGGTCACTTTTTTAATGGAGATCAATGGAGGTTGCAAGACCCTTTATTACCAATCATTTTTATTTCAAGCTCTTATCAATATGCATTCATAATCAGAGGACCTACATATCTTACATCCGTGAGACAATTCCGAGGACGGTGGTGTTGGACGAGAAGACCCAGACGAACCTCCTCCAATGGCCGGTGGAGGAGAATGAGACCCTCCGCTTCAATAACACCGACTTCAATGGATCCATCATACGTATCTCTGTGTCTCTGCCAAGCCAATCAGTTCCACATCGGGCCTCCTTTCGTTAGACACTTCCGCTATTGCCATCTTCAATGAGGCCGACGACAACTAACTGCAGTAAGCGACGGGCCTCATCCAATTGTGCGCTTGTCCTCTTTGGCCTCCTCGTCCACGCTGCCCCTAACGGTGGCAACGAACAACTGACGGTGTACTTATACGTGCCAAGGTGCTCGATTGGGCGCTCCAGACCCAGTTCTGCCATGACGAGTTGTTGTATTCTCAGACGAAGGATGTCATGAAGCGGGTGGTGGCCAGCAGCGTGCCCATGTTCAATGTTGAGGCCCTATCAGTGAGGGTGCTTGTGGAACACTCGGTCATGCAAAGCTTCGTGATGGGCGGGAGGTTGACAGTGACATCGCGGGGTACCCGATGGAAGCCATTCATGCGGCGACGAGGGTCTACCTTATCAACAATGCCATTGGCCCCTCTGTCATGGTTGAGAAGCTCGTGGTGCATGAGATGGCATCGACATCATACAACCAGACCTTCGCGGCTAACAATGACAGCGGCCCCTGAGCTCTACAAGATTGCTACAAGAAAGAGCAGGACGATCTGTGAAGATCTGGAGGGGGATCGCTGGATTACTGCCATTGCCTGGCTGAGCACTACCGTCCAGCTCTGCGAATTCCTCGACATTTGGCAGCTTCTGCAGACCAACAACATTGACCTCTCCTGTCCAGACTCCATCCGCTGGAACTGGACGGGTTCAGGAGAATACTCTAGCAAGTTTGCCTACCATATGCAGTTCTCAGGTCTCTTGGTGCCTTTCCGCTCTGCTAAGGTTTGAAAAGCACAGGCCACCCCCAAATGCAAGCTCTTCGCCTAGCTTGTCCAACATGGAAGAATCCTCACAGTAGAAAACCTGGCAATCCATGTATGGCCACACAATCCAATATGCCGCCTTTGCATGGCATCCAATGAGACGGTCCCTCATCTCTGTAGAGATTGCCCCTTCTCGCAGGCAGTGTGGAGGACCGTTAACGCCGCGGAGGGAATGCCGAACCCGAGCCCACCGGACGATGGAACCTCCATCAACACATGGTGGGAGGGCTTCCTTGCCAGTGTTCCAGCTCAGAACAGGCGGGAGCGTAGTGGTGCCATGATCTACCCTCTGGAACATCTGGAAGGAGAGGAACCGTCGGGTTTTCATCGGCAAGAGGTTGACCTACCAAGAAGTCGCCCACCTAGCTTTGATAGATATTCGCTTGCACATATCCAGTTGATTTCTCATTCGCGAGTAATCCGCATGCCGATGATGTTTGGGAGGCTCCCCCGCCGCCCGACTCTTAGGGAAAAGCCTTGTGTAAACTATTTGTAACACTCTCTCTTCTTCTAATTGAAAGGCAGCGCTCCTGCCAGTTTCTCGGAAAAAAAAATGACTGGCTTATGCATCGGAATCGTCGCTGGTGCAACGATCGATTGCAGCAGCGGGGCTAGCCAAATGGCTACTTTTGTCCGGTCCGGATGAGAAGCCTGGAGACATTGGTCCATCTCATATGAAACTACCCTTTCTCCAATGCCATGTGGTGCAAAGCGGCGACCTGGACAGGTTCACTAGTAGAAAAGAGGGCTTTGGTCCACCCCGGGTTAGCCCATTAGTCCCGGTTCAGTCTAGAACCGGGACTAATGGGGGCATTAGTCCCGGTTCGTGTGCCCAGGGGCCACGTGGGCCATTTGTCCCGGTTCGTCTGGACCTTTTAGTCCCGGTTGGTGCCAAGAACCGGGACTAAAGGGTGCGATGCCCATTAGTCCCGGTTCGTGGCACCAACCGGGACTAAAGGGTTAGACCTTTAGTCCCGGTTCGTGCCACCACCCGGTACTTATGGGGTTTGAGGCATTAGTACCGGTTCATGGCATGAACC